TTTCTCCAATGTGTGAGTAAACTAATTATTCCCTAGGTTCCATTTCTACATTTTCTTCTATATCCTCATTTTATTTCTTCCTGGAATTTTGCCCCTACTTTCACTGGCTACCATGAAGAGTTTTGTGCATTCTGGGCCAGACTGAACAAAGTGGGGTAGGCAGATACGTATTATTAGCACATGTCCTATCCTTTCCTCCGCTTCCATCAGTGTCCCTGTATTAATGATGGTTGTGTTGTAACAATATCATCCACACCTACCATTTACTGAGCCTACCACCTGTGCTAGACACTGTTTTACCCATTTTTTTTGGTATCAGTCCTGCAAGAGACTGAGGAGCCAAGTGCACAATGAAAACAAGAACTGAAACTCTGTGAGTTTATTACCTATACAATGTAGGAGAAAAATAGTATAGTAATTTTCAGGGCTTCTCTGAATTTTGTTAACAGGCAGTAACATTTCAATAACACATGATAAATAAACATATGATTAAATTTCTTTGGCAATCTTCACATGATTTTTAAGACATCACGTAGAAAATGAACATGTGAAATAGTAACTATTTTGTTATGAAGATCACATAGAGCACTAATTTTCTAATTTTTATAATGAGGGCCAGTTGTGCCTTTTTTTTGTCCCTTCAGTGACATAAATTTCAAGTTCATATTCAGTTCTAAATAAAAGAGAAAACATATCACTCCAAAAAGTTCTCCATATATTTTCATTTCGATAGTGGATTGTATATTTGTTTTAACTTACCTCTCAAAATTTTGCTTGATCCTACACCTTCATAAATATTTAATAAATCTGTATAATACATATTAAGAAAATCGAAGTTCAGTTTAATGGAAAGCCCTTGATTTACACTGCATTAAAAGCAAAAAAATAGATTATGGTCACTCAACAGTTGTCATAATTCTTAATGCATTCTAGACTTCTAGACTTTGTATGTATTTTATTTTCTTGTGGTAAAAACCACATATCGACCTTGTTAACAAATTTTTAAGTGTATTGCCCAGTATAATTAACTATAAACACAGTCTTATACAGCAGATATCTAGAACTGAAACTCTATAACCATCGAACAACTCCCCACTGTTTATTCCTCCCAGCTCCTGGCAATCACTATTCTACTTCCATTTCTATGGCTGTGACTACTTTAGACGCTTCTTGTGAGTGAAGTTAAGCAGTATTTATCTTTATGTGACCAACTTATTTCACTTAGCATAATTCTCTTAATGTTCACCCATGTTGTACCATGTATAGAATTTCCTTCTTTTTATGGCTAAATAATATTCTATTTTA